GTCTCCTTAGAATATTGTAAGAGGCTTAAAAATGTTTGCACGCCGCGACAGCGACTGCTCCTCTCTCCCCTCCCCAACCGAGTTAGCGCCCACTTCTTCCAAGATTTACTTGCTATGATGATAGTTCTTCCCCACCGATAGTCACTACAATGTGCAGTTCATAAGCATCCAAGGTGCTAAATTTGTGCAGCACTTTTGTTTGAGCCCTTCTTTAACCCAATGCATATCGAGCGAACTTTTTTGTCCATGTCTCGCCTGACCGACTCAAAATTCGAATCTGTAGCCATTACAGGCGCGCAAAATCGATACATATTGAAAATATGTAAGCGTGCAAGCGAATCGAATTTTAGTGGTAGCTCGAATTCGCTGTGCATTTTTGAAGCTTAAAGTCTCGCGCTGCTTGTTATGGAGCTTAAAAACCCTTACCCTGCATCATGATAGAGTGCAGCGGACGTTTATCAACTTTCTTGTTATATGTAGTGTTGGTAGGGTACCCCCCCCCCCCCCCAGGAGGCCCGTCGCGCGGCAAGAAGGCAAGTCAGCGGACGAGTCGCGCGCGTACTAGGGAAATTCGCGTCAAGTTAAATAGAATGTCCCATTGCACGTCCTATCGCACATCACGCGCTGCGACTCGTCCGCCGACTCGGCCTTCTTGCCGCGCGATGGGCCTTCCTGGGGGGTACCCAGTATTGGTAGGCTATGAGTTTAAAGTATTTACTTATAGTAAGTAGATAGTTATAAATAATTTTGGCCATTAGCTATTACTTCTATTAAGAAAACAACTACTTTTTGGGGAATTCTGCCAATTACGGCAACAACACCTTCGATTATTCATGATTTTATGCAGTGTAACTACTCCTTATTTCATAAAATTACAGTTATGAAAAAGGTCGATCCCAATAGTGAGGAGGACTACTGGGATACAATCAAGGCCGAGAAAGTTCAAATTCCTGTTCAAATCACATCGCAAGGGTAAGTAAAACTGTTTTTTTCTCCAGTGTCTCATCTGTTTAGGCCGATTTGCAGAAATTTCTGAAATATTTTTAAAGTGAACGATAGGCTACTTATCGAGACGATTTTTAGGACAATTTTTCAGGTAATATTTCAATATTTAGATAGGTTCTTTCCAGGAAGTGAATTTACCACCATCTGAGCCTCACTTGAAAGTTGTTTGCATATCTGACACACATGACCAGCTCGATTTGGTCAAGGTATGCGAGATGAGAACATTTAGTTTCTATTCGGGGCGAAAAAGATAGAGTACGGGCGGGAGGAGATGCACGGGTACCCGACTGGAGGCTAGTCGCGCGGCGAGAAGGCAGAGACGCAGATTGGTCAGAGGACGAGTCGTCGCGATTCAACGTCAAGTTCAATAGAACACGTTACATTATGTGTCACTCCTGCGACATCTCGCCGACCATTGCTGCATCATCTGCGTGCTGCCATGCAGCGGCCTCACGTCAGTACCCGAATGCACCCATGACATTCTTCTGTTTCGTTCCTTGACCATTTCTTCTCGTTGCTTCCAATTCATTTCTCAGGACATTCCTGATGGAGATGTTTTACTTCACGCTGGTGACATGACAAATTACGGGTCAGAAAAAGAACTAAGGAAGTTCAACGAAGAAATAGGTACGTCAGATTTTGTCACAAAACGGAATGATTGTAGCTCGATTTACGGCAGCCTTGAAGCGATAAAACGCCGATCGTTGGCAATAGTAGCAAAGGTGGTGAAAGGTGCTTTGGTTGAGAGAATCCCGAAAAACGGCTCAAACAGGAGAGATGGAAGCCTTTTTGGGCTTTCCTATTTGGAGGGGAGCAACCAAAACGTGGTCGTTTGTTCATAATGTCCGAATGCCGGTATCATGCCAACAATCATCACCCATTGATTTTAACGCTTACCTAGAAAGTAAAACATGCGGTTGCTTGAAATGAACGCCCTCTCAAAATGAAGAGAAAATGGCGATAACAGCAGGGTCATCCACTTTCGCCTTGAAATGTGCCGTTAATGTTGCACCGGGATATTACCAATTCAACGATTCTGATTCTAATCTTTCTACGTTGCTCAATTTGTGAAAGGCTGTTTTTAAGGTAAACTACCTCACAAGCACAAGATTGTTGTTGCCGGAAATCATGACTTGGGCTTTGATGACACAGAAGATCTCAGCGAACGCCTGCCACAATATCAGGGACAAGGAACGCCTAAAGGGTATAGCTTGCTGACAAATGCTACCTGGCTACATGACAAAGGAGTCGAGGTGAGTAGCAGTATTGATCAAGAATTTGGTCTAATCATTTCAAAGCCATCTGTTTTTGGATCGTAACTAAATTAGAGTTAGTCGTAAGATTTGTTACTTGACGCAAGGATACAAGCTCGGATTTTGATAGTTCACCTTCCACAACTTATTATTGAATGGGCAAAGTTGCGTATCAAATATCTTGTTTGGATTCCAAATGGTAGTTGGGTGCATGGCGTATGCCGCATCGCTTTCCCGAATTTACGCTGCATTCGGGTTTCCATTGCAGGTGACTTTTTAGAGGCCCCAACATTTCCATCCCCGCCCTATTTCTCTTCCCCCTCATTTCCACAAGATGGCTTCTACGATAAGGTCGAGAGGTGAACAGGCGGAAATATACCTAGTCGAAGAGCAGGCGGCCTTTCAAGGGGGGGGGGATGCTCATCAGTTATTATGGTTGCAGGGGCGCGAGCGGCACGGGTGTGGCCTCAGCGGCCGGCAGGGCCACACCCGTGCCCTGCGCACTGCACGCCCCTCTCTTGCTGCCTGATTCTAGCTGCTCGATCCGAGAGAGCATTAGCGGTTGAGGAGGGCACCGTCCAGTGAGAGTCGCATCACTGCGGGAATCGACGAGGAAAGGGTTCCTTTCCTCGGGTTCTGGGCAGTTTCTCATGTCCCCTCAGTACCACTGACGACCTAATCCTTTATTTTTGATTCGGCGTAAACTCTAAGGAATACATTGGAAAATACTTGAAGATGAACATGATTTAGATCGATGGTGTGACATTTTACGGCTCTTCATGGCATCCACTTTATGGATATCCATTTTATCGTCCTCGTCCGCAACTTGAAGAAAAGTGGAAGAAATTGCCGTCCAATCTGGACGTTCTCATCACCCACACACCTGCTTTAGGTGAGTTATGTTGTCTTGTCAATTAAACTTTATTTTCTGTTTTTTTTTGAATTATTGATTGCGCATTTATAAGCACAACGATCTGTGTTATCAATGCTTACATAGTAAAGGTGGAAATGGCGCTATTACCACTCCCGCGCTCCGATGAATCAACTCTCGGGTCAAGCCTTGCGCGAACCTACCAAACCTTTTACTCTCCGGGGTCATTGAAGATTGCAACAAGGATGGCTGGAGGGCGGTGCAGTTTTGTTGACGTCATTGGTGGACTAGACCAACCGCCAAGTACCGAGGAGTTTGATTGGGACTGCTTCTTTACGCTCTTCTACTAGTGACGCCAAATGAAGTTATCAAAATCGCATCAGCCTCCAACCATCGTGATCGCTGCCCTTTGACTTTGCACTAAATCTGTCCGGCTTGTCAAAAACCCGACCTTCAAGATATGCTGGCCCTTAAAGTCAATATTAGGTCGCACTCAAATGCCATGACGATTTCGAATGGAAGTAAAGTGCGTAGCGCATCCCAAAGAGCGAATAACTAACAATGGATTTCTATTATTCTTATTGTTTATTTGTGACTATTAGACGGCTCATTCGCCGGTTCCCCTTCGCAGTAAGGCTCTCTATTGCTGATGGTGTTATGTTTCAGGATATCTCGATACCTTCACGGAAACGGAACCTGAAAGATGGGGTTGCCGTTATCTTCTCAAAGAGATCGAAACAAGAGGTGAAACCCAAGTAGGTTTAACTTGAAGTTCTTCAAAGAAATGAGAAGAAGCCGCCGACAAGGCCGAAAATAACCCCCTCCCAAAGCAGCCGTGAAGGAGGCGGCTTGACGAGTTCCTCGGCTTGCCAGCCAATGTTGGCGCCCTGCCAGTCACTCAATGACAGTAACCAGCCCACGTGATTTCACCCTATGCGGAATACGAACCACCTCACCGCAGTGGGTAACCATAGCCCGCATCGTCCCAAATACTAGGCCGGGGCGTCATTACAGCGTAGTTTCAAGTCACGAGCGCGGCACCACATCCATGGTTGCACACTAGCTACTTCCTTCGCTCATTTAATTCCGGCTTTCGCCTTTTACACACTAAGCGAATTTTACGCATTTGGTTCCGCGAGAAGAAGATCGACCCGAATACTTGCCCGCGCCAGGGCTTCAATCCACTAACCTAGTCCTAGGTTGCCTTGGTACTCATCTCGAAGCACATCGACATAGCCTAGAGCGTGTTCCTCACGGTTGTTTGGGACGAAGTCTCACAGCATATTGACGACAGCGTGACGCGCATGCGTACCACATCTTTTTTTATCTGGTTTGTGTGGTTTTTTCCATGTTCCAAGGCTGTCCTTCTACGTTATAACATCTAGGATATAGCGCATTCACTTGTGTACCGCATTTCGGTTCTGCTTGTCTGTATCGAAATCACTTTCCAGGTTCCATGTGTTTGGCCATGTTCATCAGGGATTTGGAGCATTGTCGAATGGGAATACGGTAAGTCGAGCGATGTGCCGACTTAATTACGCTGGGCGCGAATCTCACGTGTCACAGAAACATTATTGTACGCCAGCTGAACTGAGCGCCCGGTATCGTTAGTTCTTCAGAATTATCAACAACTAACTCGGAGAAGCTGCCCCAAACTGTTTGGAAGATTGGCTTCAGGTGGCTGAACGTCGGTGGGCAAAGTCAAGACGGTTTCCATGATTTGTTATTTTTCATAGGGTGTCGTATTTTGTGGTTCCCCAGGAGTGGTGATGAATCGGAAGTGGCGGGTGTGGTTTGTAGGGAGGAACTCGTTTTTTAGTCGGGGCTAAAGTAGTGTACAATTTTCAGAGGACATTGAATACAATGGGTGAAAGCACACACAATCCCATTTTCAGTATCTGTCTGAAGAATAAATGCTCCCGCCCCAGCTCAACGGCAGATTGGAGAAAATTTGGGGCGGAGTTGGACTGTGTCATGTAGTACCAGAATCAGATAAATCAGAAACTGTTAGAAATCATTGATAAGTGACAGTGGTGAGGGTGAGCTAACGGGAGGATGGGTGGAAGTTAGTATGAGAACCTCGAGGAATCTCATGGTCAGTGTTAGGAGGCGTGTCGATGCCACCTCAAGAGGAAGGGGGTCGTAAAAATTTTGAAATCGTCACAACGACAGTGACCTTTGCCCCCTCCATTTTTTCCAAATCTTCTAAAATTGCTAGTTCACAGTTGCGATTAATGTGTAGTAATGATTTTTATGCTTTTATTTTATTTTTATTTGCTCTACTCCTGATTTCTTGGATTCGTTAGTAGGTGTAGTTAGTCGTAAGATTTGTTACTGCGATGCAAGGTACAAAACTCGATTTGATAGTCCACCTTACTCCAATTATGCATGGCAAAGTGCATCCCACATATCTTTGGGATCCCAAATGGTAGTGGTAAATAGAAAACTGTTAGGCAATAATGTAGTGCAGTGTGAGGGTGAGTAACGGGAGGAGGAGGGGGGGAATTAGTTCGATACCTCGAGGGGTCTCATGTCAGTGCTAGGAGGCGTGTCGATGCACCTCAGGAGGGAGGGGTCGTAAAAATTTTGAAAGTGTCATCACGGACAGTGGAAGCCTTACCCCTCCAATTTTTCCATCTGTTAATAATTTGCTGTTCACAGTTGCGACCCTTAATGTGTAGAAATGATTTGATGCTTTTATTTATTTTATTTTGCTCTACTCTGATTTTTCTCATAGGGTTTCTGCCATTTCAGACATTCATCAATGCGGCTCAGGCGTCGAAAAAGAATAAAATCAGTAACAAGCCTTTGGTATTTTACATCCCGAAAAAATGAATTTTACGATTTTTGTGATTTTTCTAGACGGTGTATTTGTTTTTAGATGACTCCTGTGTTGTGTTCAGTGATTTTTTATTTATATGCATATAATAATAAACCGTTTCGAATTATTGGCTCCGTTGCTGTTAAAATGAACCTTCGGATAGGTCAAAATGCCTGCTGCAAATTTATGTTGTACCCCTTCATTTTCGAATCGGGTGAGTTGTTTGTGAAGACCAATGGCACAAATCCGAGCCAATTATGTACATATTACGCAGATAATAAACCCGTATGGAATACGCTGCGTGCGGCTGGAGGTACTGCTGGAAAGACCACCCAGGTAGCTTTGCGCAGAGGCGATAACGTGACCAATGAGGCTCTGCCGAGGTGCGTTTATTGCTGGTTGAAAACTTTTCCCAATTGCCCGCGATGGCCCCTGAAACATGGGTGTCATACGCAATTTTTGAACGCCCCCAGGGGGCAGAAATTACGGTAAATGAGGGTGTAGGCCCATAAATATTATTTTCCTTCGATAGCATTGTCCCTGCCGTCGTCACGAAGTCATCTTGTGGAAGTTCATGAGCGTAATCGACACTCCTTCTTGATATTTTAGGTAAAAGAGATCTCAACAGAGCAGTGATAGGTGATTCACCTGTTCCACCTCTATACACAAATTATATTTCATATTTATTTTATATATTTTACTATATATTTATATATTCATTGTATTTTTATATTTTGTATCCGCTTCTGAACTTTATTACATATTCATTTATAATATTTATTTTATTTATTTTGTTAATATTTTTTCTTGTTTATTATTTTTCATTTTCTGTTTCTTTATATTTTTTGATTTATTATATATTTATAATATTATTGTATAACTTTATATTTGTATCAAACTTCTGTCATCCCTACATTAATAATATTAATTATATAGCCTAATAATATATTTGATAGCATGAAACTTTCCTAAAATTTATGATTTTCGTATTATTGCCGCCGAGACAAGCACCACCAGCGATCTTAGGCTCCATGTTACGGCGAGCCATTATGGCGACCAAGAGGTTGCTTGCGCCTAACAGAGAAATATACAGCATTGAGTGGATTGGCTTGTTCAATCTTCTATGGCTATCCGACAGTACTACGCGAAAACCCAAACCCTAAAATCTTCATAGGAATGCATCGCGGCCGTCAAGATTCCACCCATTAACAGTATCCGTTCGGGGACTGGGTTACACTTGTAAAAATTGTGGAATCGGACGATCCCCTTCTGGAGGGCGTCCCGGTGTCATCTTTTGGCAGACTTAGAGCTCAGTGATGGGTGGAATTAGTGACACCAAGGACCATGGTAAACGGAAAGAGAGGAAGGGATTTACTGGAATAGGTTGTTGATCAAAAATTCCAGCTCTTTAGGTGTGTTACGCCGCTTCGATGGTCTGCTTGACAATGTGTGCAGAGATTTTGATCTGCATAAAATTTGTTTTTAGTAATGTGAGGGGGTGATCAAATGGACCACCACTATTCCTATGGCCACCTTTGAATCGATGCGTCAGGTGGGCACGTACAACGCGATAGCAAACCCGCTCGGAATACGCTGCATGCGGCTGGAGGTACTGCTGGAAAGACCACCCAGGTAGCTTTGCGCAGAGGCGATAACGTGACCAATGAGGCTCTGCCGAGGTGCGTTTATTGCTGGTTGAAAACTTTTCCCAATTGCCCGCGATGGCCCCTGAAACATGGGTGTCATACGCAATTTTTGAACGCCCCCAGGGGGCAGAAATGACGGTAAATGGGAGTTGTAGGCCCATAATATTTTTTTTTCCTTTGTTGCTCCTGCGTCGTTGCAAGCCATCCTGTGGGAAGTTCATGGGCGTAACCGAGTTCTTCCTCTTGACTTCTCAGGTAAAAGAGATGCTAACAGAGCAGTCATAGGTGACTCACCTGTTGCACCTCCAAACACACGTCATTTCTTCATTGTATCGTTCTGGCACCCCTACTAATATAATAATAATAATAATAATAATAATAATAATAATAATAATAATAATAATAATAATAATAATAATAATAATAATAATAATAATAATAATAATAATAATAATAATAATAATAATAATAATAATAATAATAATAATAATAATAATAATAATAATGAATTTTGACTTGTTTTGTTTGTTAACTGCTGTTTTAACGCCGCAGTTCGCGTTGCGAATGTTTCACAAGAATGCTGGGTGTGTGAACAAAACTTTCGCCCGCAGGCGCAACTCTCGCTTAAAGGAGGATTTCACGATTAGAATGAGGTCGAAGAAGAAAATGACCTAGTTGAGGGACCCACGGACCTCCTGAGGGTGCGAACTGATGCGCAATTCGCATCGAAAAATTTGACCTCGGCGACCTATTATGCCTCAAAGTTGGCGGGTCGGCGATCTCCGCCCACCGACCAGCTGATCACTCGCCGCAGATCTATACGTGGGATTGATTAGATAGCAGAGAGAGCGTGATGTTGAGGAGGGCACAGCGATAAGAGTCGCATCAATGCGCAAATCAGCGGGGAAGGAAGGGGTCCCATTTCTCGGGTTCTGGGCCGTTTCTCATGGTTCTTCCTTCTTTCGTGTACCAATCACCATCCCTAGTTAATTTGAAATGGGTTGCTTTTTCATCGTGAATTCGTCCTTTAAAGCGAGAGTGCGTTCTAGTCCCGCCTGGGGCGAAGGTTTTGTTCACACCCTAGCATTCTTTTGAAACATAATAGTAATAAATAAATGATAATAACAATAAAATAATATCGGATATTGCATAATAATCAGAGCAATGAGAGCTGAAAATTAGTCTGCAACTCACATGCGTGGCGCAATTCCAAAAGAAGTCACAATAAGCCTACTATCTTTTCACGATCGATGCTGAATAAGAGATGGCATCCGGTGAATGTTCACTGTAACGCCACAGTAAGCCAAATTCGTGGGTGGAGGAGCAGATGAATTTGGGGCAGAGTGTAAAATCGGTCGAGGATTCGTCGACAGCTCGTCGAGGGATTTTCGCCTGTTCAGTCACACTGTCTAGTGCGGACATTCACTCTCATCACTGTTCTCATATGACGCAGAGAAATGGCCGAGGATTTCCTTGACCGTTATTCTGTTGGATGAGGGCGAGTTTCGTGAACCCATTTCACTTTTCCACAAATTATGTGGCTTTCCGTTCTTTTCTAAAACACAGGGTTACTGTAGGATCGAGCCAATTGCACCAATTGCTCCCTTTCAGCATACCCTACCTTTTAACTATTGAAATACTTGAAGTGCCAAACATTCTTACAAGCAAATAAATACATTGAAAACTGAGGTGTGCAAAAAACCCGTCGTAAAAAATCGTTGAAGGAGTGTGTGGTCTGACCTTCTTGAGTGGTGTGATCCGCAAAAGTGCTTATTCCCACTGTGTTTATGGGAACCCTCCGTGCCTTGGGATGGTAGTCTATTTTATAATTCTTTTTTGTTTTAGGAACTGCCGTTTTCACTGACTCTATAAATTGCGGGGCAGTGCGACAGTGTTTCGTTCGATATTCCTCCTTTATTCTTCCTGAAATGGAGGAATTCAAAGAATGGGGAGAAGATTGGAATGACTACTGAAAGCGGTGTTTACAGTGTAAAGGCAGCCCACTAGAAATCCAGATAGAGGTGGTCAGTGGTGGCGGGATGAAACAAAAACCACGAAAACCGTCCCGAAGCCTGAGAAATAGGGCCCTCCGTGCTCGTTGCTTTTCGCGTTGATGCGACTCTCGTCGGTACTGCCCTCTTCAGCGCCAACGTTCCCTCTCAGCGAGTGCTAGAGACCTGCGGCGAGTGGTGACCATCATGTGTGCCGAGTCGATAGTCGACGGAGCATGGTCGCTAATGTAGGTCGGGAGTGGCAGGTCATCATTCGCTGTAATTGCGTCCTTGGCCGCACCCTCAAAGAACTCCACCTGTCCTTCCATGCAAGTAGGCTGCCCTTCGCGACATCGTGGGATCTCCTTTCAACGTCGGTTACTGAGTTCATTTAGTGATGAAAAGTTTAAGCCTTCAGTCATACAGGTCCGCCACAATCTTTTCTAAAAGGAGTCCTTAAGTCTTGCAATACCAAATTTGGTTTCTGAGATAATTGAGATATTCTCCTTAGATTGCTTGGTCCAGACAATTAAACAGTTGGGGGATTTTTATTTGCCTGACGGCGCTTTCCACTGTGAATCCCCCTTCTTCAGTCTATATTTAGACAATGAAATGAACTTCAGCGCGAATAAATGTCCTTAGTCCTCAGTCTGTCGCCTCCATCCGCGCGCGAGAACGTAAAGGATCAGGCGAAAATCCTCGACGCACCATTGAGGAATCCGCAAGTAATATTCACCCTGCTTCTAGTTAGGGGTCCCTTTTTTCACTGTCTCTTCTTGTACAGTTCACATTGCAAAATAGAAAGAATTTCCGTGTTTTTAAACAAATCACTTTCCATTTTCCTTTTTCAAAGTAGTGATCCGAGTTTAACCCCTAGTTTCATACTTGAACGGATATCCTTTGAAAATTTGGATTTGGGGTGTGTCTTTAAGTTCTGTCCGACTTACTGACTTATCAATAACGTTATGAATGGTCGTAGTTCACATGCCCTCCTCATTATGGTTCTCATGATGAGGGGCGGTTACAGTAATTTCATGTGAATTGTTTGAATCTAAGATCTTATTGCAGTACACGAACTTAATGACAGACTTAGTACAATTAGCTTATTTTTCACGAGCAAACCTACATATAAATACTGTCCCTAAAATTTTCGATCTACAGAGTAGAAGCAATTTTCAGGACGTTGTAAAATGGGTTGGTATAAGGACTATTTCGACAGCTCATTTTCTTTGGAAGAATTAGAAACTTGACTGAAACGGCGTCGTAAATGGCACTTTTGCTAGGAATCAATTTGCTGAGGAGCCAGGGTTTCCCACGTCTCCCACTGGATCAGG